TCAGAAAACTGGTACATCTACAAAATGGAATACTACGCTGCTATAAAAAAGAAGGAATTCTTACCATTTGCAGCAGCCTGTATGGAACTGGAGAGCATTGTGCTAAGTGAAATAAGCCAGGCAGTGAAAGAAAAATACCACATGATCTCACTCATTTATGGATAATAAAGACCATTATAAACTTACGAACAAAAATAGATACAGAGGCAGAGCAGATTCGGACTATTAAACTACAGCGGGAAGGCCAGGGAGGGTTGGGGGGCAGGAAGAGGGGGTAAGAGATTAACCAAAGGACTTGTATGCATGCATATAAGCATAACCAATGGACATAAGACACTGGGGGGTAGGGAAGGCCAGGGGATTGTCAAGGGAGGGGGGGGGAGACATATGTAATACTCTTTGTAATACTTTAAGCAATAAAACAATTTTTTAAAAAAGAATATTTTAGTTATATGTCAATTTCTGATAATCTTGCTCTAATATCTTTGTAATATACTTGTCATCATCTAATATCTCACCAGTCCAAAGTAACACTCAGGTTACTCAAAAAAAACACTTTTATCTATGGACCCCCAGCTTCACAAATGTTTCTTCCTTTATCTGTAGTATCTAAGCAGTAAGCTAATAGCCACAAAAACCAGGCTGCCCATTATTCGCTTATATCAACTTTAACTCTTAATTAACTCCAGTCCCTCATGTGTGACTGATTATGATGCCTCCTTTGGCAATGCAGCCTCACCCAATTTTGGCTAAGAAAAACTTTTTAGAAAGTAAGCATGAAAAGCTGTCTCAAGGATATGTAAACCAAGCTTTAACTACACCAAGTACAAGGACCATCTGCTTAATAAATGTGGGAGGAGGCATAGCATAAGGCAAAGCAAGTACAGCATTATATTGAAACTAGTGCCTCAGTACACGGATTTGTGCACATTGAAAGGAAATTAGAAGGTGGCCAGTGGGGCGGGACTGGGCAAGACAGGCCGGATACGCCCTGGAGCCAACCTCCCACAGTTCCTTCCTGGCCTACCACACCTGGGGCAGCGCCACAGCTCAAAGGGCGTCTTCAGAGTGAGGAGGGTCCCTCCGGCAGGTGGGGTCCCTCAGCCTGGCCTGCGGAGATCGGGCCGAAATCGGCTAACATCCCGAGAGGTCCTGGGTTGTGAGAGGGTGGCTCTCGGGTGACGCACCCCGGAATCGGGCTCCCTCCTCTCTGGTTCCGGGGTGTGTCACCCGAGAACCACCACTGCCAAGTCACTGTAGCTCAGCAGCGCCTGCTTTGAGCGTCTGCCCCCTGGTGGTCAGTGCAGTTGGATGGTCACTTAGTCTTTTATATATATAGATAGAATACAATTTATAATTGATTAGAATGGTCAACTTATAAAACTCTAAAATTCCAGTGAGCATGTTGCTATATCTCAGGTGATACCTATGTCATATTGAAGAAAGTAGTACTACTTGTTTTGTTAAAATACTCAACTATGTACATGTACCACAGGTTTGTTTAAATCACAGATTCTTAGGTCACCCTAACAATCCTAACAATCTTGGTCTCTTGGGTAATGTTTTGTTTTTGATTTTTCAACCACAGTTTACATTCAATACCATTCTGAGCCAGTTCCAGATGTACCACAAAGTGGCCAGAAAACCATGCACTCTACAGAGTGGTTCCCCACTGCCCTGAGTATCCTCTTGGCCCTATACCCAGTTATCTCAACATTATTGACTATAATGTCTTGGGTAATGTTTTATGCTGTTTTGCTCAAAGATAAGCAAACTAATAAATGAATTAAAAAGAATATATTCCCTGGCCAGGTGGCTCAGTTGATTGGAGCACTATTCCATGCACCAAAAGGTTGCAGGTTTGATTCCCAGTCAGGGCACATACCTAGATTGTTATGGGGTAGAGGGGTGGAATGTACGGGAGGCAACAGTTTGTATTTTTCTCTCACATCTATCTTTCTCTCTCCTTTCCTCTCTCTCTAAAAAAAAAAAAAAAAAAAAAAAAAGATAATAATAATCATCATCCTTGGGTGAGAATTAAAAAAAAAAAAGTACTTAAACATTTGTTCCTTGTTTGGACATTGTACTAAAAATTAAGACAATCAGCCCTGGCCCGGTGGTTCAGTTGGATGGAGCATCATCCCATACCAAAGGTTGCAGGTTCCATTCCTGGTCAGGGCACATATCTAGGCTGTAGGGTTGATCCCTGGTCAGAGCACA